TCCTTTTATAAGCACTAAATTTCTATTATAACATATAGCAACTGTTTACTCAATGGGGAAGATGTCTTCGGCATTTTTACAATCAATTGCAATGACCAACACTTATCAAGTATTACCTACTGATGTACGCATTTCATTAATATTAAAGCAAAAAAAAAAAATTTTTTTTTTATTATTTCAGCTAATATTAAACTTTGTAATGTATTCATAAAAGACTACTGCTATTTATTTGATTCGAAACATCAGGAAATTTATAATACCAAGTTGGAAAACTACTATGGGACTTAACCCAGATTATGAAATAGTAACTTACTTAACTTCAAGAAAAAGTAATTTCATTAATAACTCTAGATTTATTTTATAATACATGTATTTATATACATAGTTGTGTTAATATAATATATGAATTCTAGCTACACAGCGATCAAGTACTGCGCAAAGTCTGTTTTATATTGCTATTATTCCAGACAATGAAATAACTAATATTGAAACTGAAGAAAGGTAAACTTTTTATTAAATAATTCATTTGCATTCGTTTTTTTTACTGTCTCATCAACTTGAAATAATTCTAAAGGACGCATACAGTGAGTATTCAATGGCAATTAAATTTTTATGAATGTAAATTAATTCGTAATTTCATATAGATTTTAAGTTCTCTTGGATTACTTGGTGGTGCATGGTCAATTGCTATAGTTGCTTATAAATTACTTTTCGGTAGGTTTTTGTTATATTAAATGTTTGGTAGGCATTGACATAATATTCGTAGAATTTGTCAACTTATCACCTATAATTATTGCAAATGTCATCTCTCTCGTTATATTAAGATCAAAGAATATAAATGAATAATATTATATTATCCTTATATGCATTACAAGAAACTTCGTTTCTACTATCCAACGGATCAGGATATTATTTATTACTAACTTAAATTTTATATTTTATATTTTTTTAAAAAAAACAGGCGATGACATAATTAAGCCTTTTGGGCTAGTTCAAAAACATGGCTATTTTCACAAATTAAATCAAAAAAAATTAACAGAATATTTATCCACAATTCCTTTAGCTCGAGACTCATCTAATAATGATGATGATGATAATGATGATAATGAAAATCAAGTTGTACAATTAGAGAAAGAAATTAATGATTTAGAATTATTTTTAAGAGATTATGTGATTGAAGTACAACAATTGGATAATGTTTATAAAAATATTGAAACTAATAAAAAGTGAAAAAATATTTAATTAATATAATAATCATTAATACTTAAGCGTTTTTTTGCTAAAAATTTGATATGTTCATTGTAAAAGGCAAGACTGATTTACTCAAAAATATTGTAACAATTAGTAGTATAAATTTTTGAAAATTTTATAACAACCAAACTTATACTATAACCTATTAGTAAAACTTGGATTTGATTTTTATAAGAAAATATTTATACAATTGTTCAATTGTGTAAATTTTTTATATAATAATTAATAAAATGAATATTACTAGCTATAACTGGCGTACTTCCCTTTATTGCACCGCACCAGAAGTATTATATACAAATGGAAAGAAATACACACAAAAATCAGATATTTATTCTTTCGGAATAATTCTGTCAGAAATTTTTACTAGATATCCACCATATTATGATATTCCGCATGATTATCAACTAGTATTATCTACTTACCAAGGTTATAGACCTAAAATTGAATGTAAAGTTCCTAAACTACTTTTGGATTTAATGAATAAATGTCTAGATGCTAAACCTCATAACAGACCAACTGCTGAAGAATTATCTGAAGAGTAAGGCAATTTTTTTTATGATTTAAGAAATGAAAGAACCGAATTATATAAACAAGTTAGAGAAATTAAAGATTCAGGCAAAAATTCCTCAACATATAATCAAATCAACTCGGCAAGAAACAATTATTGGACACATCCGCAGGCTATTTACACAAGTCGACTTTTGAAATTTCCAAAACTCCCTAAGCCGGTAAATAAACCGGGTAAGAATATTATCTCTCAAAAAATAGTTTTTAAAATTGCACTTTAAACACGATGTGTAACGGATATTTAAGAATCAAATTGATTAACGTTTAGATCGATCGATTATGTCTATTTTAATTAGTCTTTCTATATTAACCATATAATTTATAGTATTTATAAAGTTGATTAAACTAACTAATTCTTAAACATGTTTTTCTAGTAAGTCAATCAGTACCGACACTGACCAATTTGGACGAGTAGTGTGAACTTTTTGATGACTTGATGCAACATAATTTTCAATCTCATTTTAATAAAAATTTATTGGCAAAAATACTATCACTATATTAAATTTATATATGTTATATGTCGTTATTGATTCCCTTGAATTCGGAATCAACACGTATCATTTTGAATTTCTACCGATCAACGAATGATATCTGATATACCGTACTCAAGCTAGCTTAATACGAAATTAAGGTGTAAAATTTACAAACTTGATACCTTATTTTTAAAATATACCGGATGCTTGAAAAGTCCCTAGACAAATCGCCATAAGCGCACCTTATATATTAAGGTAAATTCGAACAGAAAAAAATAGTCCCTAAACAGGACCTTTCGTTAATCGTTAAATGATTTACTTTTTTGACGGGGATAAAGATCATTTTACTAATGAAATGCGTAATACTATAATCAAAAAAGGCCCTGCCTAGGGACTTTCGAACACTCGGTATTAAAGTTGTTTGTGAATTAAATTGAGCTGGTGAAACTGGTGACTAAAATCTGATTGGCTATTATAGTAAATAGCTAATCAGATTTTAGATAGTCTAGTTTCGCCAGCTCAATTTAGTTTCACCAGCTCAATTTAGTTTCACCAACAACTCTACTCAGTATACATTAGTTAATAAACTAACTATTTATATACTCACTAATTTATCCAAACAAATGAATTATAATGCATTAGTAATAATTCGTAAAATCATGTTTGCAAAAATTTTTTGATAGAAATATGTAATCACTAAAATTAAGCAATAGATGCTTTAAGAATTTAGTAGTAGAAATATAGTAAACTAAGATTTATCAGTCCTACCGAATAATTGATTGTAGGGGCAATTAATTGCAATTTTTCAAGCTCAATTAATTGATTGGTGGCGCAGTCACAATTGGTCATTGGAATTTTACGTAATTAGATAATAGTGGAATTTACGCATCAGGTCCCATATTTGAAAATAATTATGAATGAGGGCCCAACTTAAAAATATTTGTTTATAAAAGCCTAATTTTTGAAAATATTACAAATACGGACCTAATATAAACACGGGATCGTTGCGGCATAATATTGCAACGATCACTCACCTCACTCCATAACTACTTGAAATTGTGGTTAAAGAAATAATACGGCTATCACTTTTTAGTCGTAATAAGCATTTGTGTTATTTATTTATATATATTTTAAATATGTGAAAAGAATAATAGTTATACGAATTAAAAAAAAATATCGATACATTGAATTAGCAATACATTTCAATGTAATTTTTAGGTGTATAGTATAAAGGCAGCATTTGTATGAACGCAATTTTCCATTAAGCATTGTAAATTAATTTTCTTTCTGCCTACGTCTTCGATTACAAGTTCGTGTATTATGACCTTTTTTACCGTATTTTTTGCAAGTATTTGGTTTTCTAATGCCGTTTCTCCAAGTAAATGTCATCCCAATTTGTAATGCGTTTAACATAACGATAAAATTTACAATCGAAAATGAAAAAAATTTTTTATAAGCAAATTGTTAGAAAATCGAGACGAAAGAAATTTATTAATAGATAAGTGTATTTTATACTCTTATATTGAATATAAGATTACTAATTTACATTTGTTAATATGTAGTAACGAGGACATTTCGTGTGCGTCGGGAGTAAAATTTGAGTTACGTACGTATGTATAAGTTAGATCATGATTGGCTTGAGATCGTGCTTAAGCCTCAATGGGCACTGATTCATACAACGCAAAATTACTTGGGCCCGTATTTATAATATTTTCAAAAATTAGGCCTTTATAAATAAATATTTTTGTTGGGCCTTCATAAATAATTAATTCCAAATATGGGTCCCGATCAGTGTTGGAAATTAGTGTTCTCAGAGTTCTCATGAGAACACCATTGTAAATTTGTGCATAGAGTAAATTTTTTATTGTTCACTATTAAGAAATTTTTTGAGAACAGTAAAATAATAATAGTGTTCTCATATGTATATATATAAATAATAGCTATATAACATTTTTGTCAAGCCAATCAAGATATTACGTACTAATCATAATATAAATTTAATGTTTAGTTATTGTATGTTTACATAATATTCAAAATCTATTATAAGCACCTAAGTGTGATCCAAATCGTTAGTTGAAAAACCAACTAGTTGACAACTAGTTGACTAATCGATTGGAAATTTTTAACCAACTAATCGTTGGTTGATTATCTACATTATTATAAATTTAAGGCATAGAGTTTTTTTAGCCAATCAGAATGGTTTGAAATGATACAGAAAACACGTGATTATTTATTATGCCAATCAAATTTATTGAAAACATGTGACATCGATTTAAATTTTTTAAAAGTTTAAAATTTATCCACATATGCTCTTATTTAATTCTAATTTCAGTTATGAAATTTTTTTTCATTTCTTTTTTTTTTAAAAAAAAAAAATGTAAGCAAAGTGTAGTTTTTGAGAACACCTATAAGTATTATCCTATTCTCATGAGAACAGTATTTGGGTCCGAAATTTCCAACGCTGGTCCCGATGTGTAAATTCCCTAAAAATAAATAGGATTTATAGATCGCTTATTACAAAATTAATACGTCACTAATTTAATTCGAAATCAGAAACCTGAACCTTAGGTCTGAAACCCCTAATGACTTTTTTTTTTAAAAAAAAAAAAACGAATTTAATATATAGATTACCCATTGATGATACCTTAATTCTGACGAGGAATTGAGGATCTACACCATCAATCAGGATGGTAAATGACTTTAAATGACCCAAATTTCACAGCCCAAATGACTTAAGAGGATCATTTAACTCTAGTTAATTGATTATCTAATACCTTTTAGCCAATCAAAATCGAATATTGTTCTCCATAAAACTGACGAACGTCGCTAGATATTATCCAATAAAAATTATTGCATTTGATAAATGATCCAAATGACTGATGACTCTAAAATGAACGGTCATGGGTCTCTGTCATTTTTCCAACAGCTATTTCCTAACAAATAAAATCCTGACGAATCGACCGGAACTGATCCTAACCCCAATCTAATGCGGGCTAACTTGTCAGGAATTTGGCATTGTCGCCGTATCCAATCGGATCACAAGATCAAGTGTAAGCGATTCCAATATGTACCGTATAAATCAATTCGTGAATAGAGAAATGACGTAGGATATATTTAAATCATTTAAACATGCATTACGCAGATTTTTCGTAATTAATTAGATACCAACGCTATATGCGAAATGACCTAATGACCAAATGACCCTAGTCATTTGGAAATGACCCTAGTCATTTGGAAATGACCCCATAGTCACTTGGTCATGAGTCATTTCTAAATGACCCAAATTTGAATGACCTCAAATGACCGGTCATTTTGAGGTCATTTGAGATCGTTTGAAAAATTGGCAAATGACCAGGTCATTTACCATCACTGCCATCAATTAATAGCTTTTTCGAATAAATTTTTTCGAAGAAAATAATCCTTTTTTATTACTGATAAAGAGGAAAATTTTTTGATGAAAATATTTTTTAAAGATATACGAAGTTATTTCACAGAAAGTGTCAGTTCTGTGATCTCCATGCCATTCGGATTTAAATTAATGGTAAATTTCTTTCTTTTTTAAATATACAGATTTAATTAAATATATACTGGTATATATGGTTATATAGTTATGGATTTGGCGCACAGAGATCATAGAACTGATACTTTTTTTGTATATAGGTTAAGTTTAGTAAAAGTTAAAAATACGACTTTCAATTGTATTAGTAACCATGAAATATATTTAATGCAATTGAATTATATTTATTATTATCCCAAAATGTCAACCCAAGAAGAATATTCTTTTATTTCAAACCAAGTTTTTAATGACTTGATCATTAAATATCTTGAAGGAAAAACTTTAAATAGAAATCGTAAAACCTTAATTTCACAAACCGATTATGACCTTATTATTGTAGTACTTCACGACCCTAGTAATGCAAACTTAGGGACTTCAAAGGA